AGTTAGGCAACCAAGTGAAAATGGCGTTTAAATCGCTTGATATTCACCTGATATGATTTCTAGGCTATTTTCACATGATGACCTAATTTTTGCAGTATAAGTTTTCTAGGCCACCATTGTTTTTTTCAGGCCACCATCGTTTCTGCCCATCAGGGCACTTGATTAGTTGAATATTTGGCTAAAGTGTTTGTTGATATTATTATTTTTGCCACGTGAACACTTTTCCAGTTCATTTTTTGAACTATGCTTCCGTGAGCCTTTTTTTGAAAAAGAGTCGACGTGAGCTTTATTGCAAATGAGCCTCAATGAGCTTTTATCAAAATCAATAATTACGTCAAATGAGCTTCGATGAGCTTTTTTCAAAATCAATATTTTCGTCAAATGAGCCTGTCTGAGCTTTGACGTGGAGTCGAAAAAGGCTCGTATGAGCCTGCTTCACGATGAGCTCACGTGAGCTTAAGCTCATGACTGAGCTTTTTTCGGAATTTTACCACGATCCAAGGGTACATCGAAAAAGGGTACATCGAGGGTACATCGAGTTCTTANGGTNCATTGGNTTTGAGGGTACATGGGATCTTAGACTGTAAGGCGTTTTAGCCTAAGCCTATAATTTTGAGCAGAAAGCAAAATAGTATGTATAAAAATATTGATTTACTTTTTTGTCCACCTACATGTACCGAACAATCCAATGTACCCTTGAAACCAATGTACCCTAAGAACTCGATGTGCCCTTTTTCGATGTACCCTTGGATACTGGGCTAGGATTCTTGGATTCTTGGATTCTTGGATTCTTGGATTCTTGGATTCTTGGATTCTTGGGATTCCTGGGATTCCTGGGATTCCTGGGATTCCTGGGATTTCTGGGATTCTTGGATTCTTGGATTCTTGGATTCTTGGATTTTTAAATGTCCGTATGTCCTTTCTGGAGACGCACAAACTACTCTTTGGTACACATTCACAGCTTCATTGAGCTCCCGAGCAATCACAAACTCCGCATTGTCGTCAACTATCAAACGAACGATTGGCAACGATTTTGGATGCTGAAAACTTCCAAATTATCTACAGTATCAGTTGATTTTTATCATTTTCTAGAGTCTGTAGCTCGGCGGTCAAGTTTCCAATCACTTTGAAAAATTTGGAGGTTTTAAAAGAAACTTAGATTGAGAACTTTGCATTTACAGAATTTTCTGAAAGGTCCCAAACTTCCAGTTGTTTGCCGACTTTTGAAGGACACCCTGTTTTTGTTCTGAAAACGTGAAAAAAGCAGACGTCCTTCAGAAATCGGACAATAACTGGAAAACTAGGAGTTTTCAAAAATTCTGTGAATGCAAAGTTTTCAATCTAGGTCCGTGTTACACTTTCAAAAATTTAAATTTTCAACGTGATCAGAAGCTTGATAGTCAGACTTCGGAAATGGTCAGAAAGGATTTTATGGAATAGGATATTTTCATAAATAATCTGATAACCCATTTCTAACTGTCCACTTGTGTCCAATTACCAACTTCCAAGCGCATCTAGAACTCGAGATACGGTCATTTTAAGTGCCCGAGGTTAGAGACGCAGCGTGTCTCGTCGACTGTGTCTTTAGCCTCCCGAATTTGGAGTGGCTCTATCTCGGTTCCCAGAAACGCTAGAAATGTGATTCTTAGACAGAATTATGAGACACTTTGTCTATTTTGTAATAAAATATCTTTCAAAAATTTTTCTGAAACTCGGCGAAATCCAGACAACAAAAATCTACTGAAGAACACGTTTTTGTAGCTCAAACGCTCACCGATTCGCTTTTAGGAAGAAACCACTGTGGTCTCGCTTCACAATCTTCTGCACTCCTGGAATCAGTGTCGCACAGTACGTATACATCAGCACTGACACATTCTCAGCATCCTTTTGTGTACATTGAGCCAATGAGAACAGATGCTTGAGCACCCCCATAAGTGCTTCCATTTCCTTCTCACTCATCGGAACTGGCAAAAGTTTCTGGAACTTTTTGAGCATCTTCTGACAAGTTAATCCCATTGCTTCGATTCTAATGGTTTTGCGCATATCCACCAAGAGCTTGTTCAATTCCATATCGAGTGTATCAAAAGCTTTCTTCTCGAATTCCACGAATTCACATGTGTCTTCAAGCTTTTTCTCTTCCAATTTGAAATAATAGGAGAGCATGATAAGAGCGACTCGGTTTTCCTAAATTAGTTAGAATTTAAAATAACAGTTCTGTAAGAAAAACCCACTAGCAAAGGGTCCTTATGAAGCAAGTAATTCTGGATATACAGAAAAATGTCATTCTTCTGAATGTATTCCTTGGTCTTGTTCTGGTTGCGGTAGATTCTCAGAGTGTGGTTGTAATGTATGCTGGGATCCAGACCAAAGTACTTGTTGTTTCCCTGGAAATCAATGTAGACTTGGACGTCGTCCCAAAGCTCTTCTGGAGACTCGAACATTCCTGAAAAGAAAATTTTTGATTAAGGTTTTGGGTCTCTGGAACTTTGACGTGCCAATTTTTTAGACAATCAAGATTCCAAAGGTTCCTGAATTCCTTTGTGCCTAAAAGTCCAGATGTCTCAATTGCTAAATTCAGTTGGTTTGTTATTGAAAAACACCTTCATCGCGCTCAGCTCCAGCCCATTCGAGTTTATGGTTTCAACCTGGCAACTGTTTCGGACCTGAAAAATAAATTTTTTGAAAATTGTTCTGAATAATTCTAGACTCACAGAAAACGGAGCGTAGTGCTTGGCCATTTTTGCTAGCGATCCAGCTGGCAGTGGCACAACTCGCGGTGTTCTTTGAACAGTTCGAAGCATTTTTTTTTCAGCTGAAAGTAGAGGTAAAATTGAAGACTAGAAAATTGAAAAAGAGGAAATTGAAAAATGGAAAACGGAGAACAAGAAATGAATGAATGGAAGAACAAGGGGAAACTGCGAACTGGAGATAAATAGAAGAAGAGAAAAGTGCCAGGGTTTTAGAAGCTGAAGAGGCGCCCCTGGCAAACATCTGGTAGTTGGCAGCCATTGTGACCTTGGAGACAGCCGTGTTAAAAGAAATAAGTAAGCCAAAACAGTTTCAAACTTTTTTGCGAAGAAAAAATTGAACAAAGTTTGAGGCTGAGAAAAAAGACAAAACGAGGAATAAATGAAAAAACAAGAAAAATTTCATGTGAAAAAAATTTTTCGCGGCATCTTCCTTCAGAAGATCGGAAGGAAACAGATGGAATCCCTGAAAAATGAGGATCCAAAAATCGATAATTTGGCTTGTGAGAAGAGAGAGAGAGGGAGGGCGGGTGCTAAATTTGACTGTGGTAGATCAACAAGTACTTTTTTTTGAAGAGCAAATTTGGGTTACTGCCACTCGGGTTCAAAGGGAACGGGTTGTTAATTCTTTAATTTTATAAAATATTTGAGAACCTCTTTGAGTTAAAATATTCAAACAATCCGGTGGAGGATGACATAATTTAGACAAAATAAATTGGCAGAAACATAAGGGTTCTTAGAAAAAAATTCTTAGAAAATTAGAAAAACTTGAAATATTGCAAAAAAATTTATTGTTCCGTATCTCGGCTCCCAGGCGAGCTAGAAAGCTTAAACTTGGACATAAATTTATGATTCTCGTCATAGAATTAGGATTTAAAAGAGAAATTTGTTTCCGGGGAGGAAAAAGGGAATTCTCCAATTTATTTTGACTAAAAAAGATGAAAAAAATTACAGAAAAAAG